GTGCGCAATACCGATTTCCACTGAATACAACGCACCATCGTTTTTGCTGCACCTGACCGGAGATATAACTCGTATACATTCCTTATCCGTTGTGTTCAGGGGAAGATGCGCCTGCTCTCTCTCTCTCTCTCTCTCTCTCTCTCTCTCTCTCTCTCTCTCTCTCTCTCTCTCTCTCTCTCTCTCCCTCTCTCCCTCTCTCTCCCCCCACAATACCAATTTCCGCTGAACACAATGCACCCTCATTTTTGCTGCACCTCACCGGAAATATCACTTGTGTACATTCCTTATTAGGGTATGTTGTGTTCAGGGAAAGACGTGCCCGTGCTTCAGTCCGAATTCACGGGAAGATGTGTTCGAATTCAAAATCATTCCGCTGGCGGGCCTGGGACGTCAGGGCGACCAGAGACAGCCTGGTACGCACGGGGACGCCCCGGGACGGCCTGGGACAGCGTCAGGCCTGCTACCACTGCTTTTTTGAACTCAGAACCTGCCATTACTGTTTGGTCCTATTTCTTTTGCATTTCCGAGCTGGGGGCCTGCCATTACCGCTTGGTGTGTTTCTTTTTGCCTTTTCAAACTCCAAACCTGCTGCGGCCACACTTGTTTCTAGACTTTTTTGTGAGAGATCCTCTCAGATTGAGTCCTTACAGAGTGGATGGCTGCAGATCTAGTGATGGGGAGCAATACCTGCTGGAAACCGGGTCCAGCATCCCATTAGATAATTTCGATTTGGTCTGTTTTCTCTGAACTCACCTCTTCAGCTTTGCTTTATCGCCTGCCTGCTGCTTCATTTAATCACCTAGCTGATACCCAGTGTTATGTCATCCCACAAGTGTCTCTCCCTACCTATACCAGAATAATTCCACCTTGCTGTTGTCCACTGGAGTGAAGGGATCACTGAAGTCTGCAGCTGATCTCATTGGGAATGGTAGATTAATGTTAGGCCGTTCAACACACAGATGAACCCCTTGAGATTTACATACATCGCTTCAACTTTTGCAATCAATCTGAACTCTGGGTTGTCCAATCATCCCGCACATTACTCGTTAATCTTTGATTGCTTCTCTTTGTGCTCAGTTAGATTTGCCGTCCCGCCAAAATGTTTGTTCGGATGTCATTGATGATGTTTTACTGTCTTTCCTGATCTGGTCGACGGTTTTAGCATTCATAGGTACATCTGGATGTCCGTATGCCCAATATCAGGACCTTTGGTCGTAACCGGAACCAGTTGTCTGTAAATCCGCCGCCTCCTTTGCTCTGGAGATGGGCTACCATGATGGCCTTCCAGTCCCATGGCCATGGCTCTCCTGTTGGCCACCTCCAGATCTGGTCCAACCATCTCCATAGCAAAACCACCTGTGGGCAGGAGAGGAAGAGGTGCTTTAATGTTTCTTTTCTTTTCCTGTGAGGATAGTTTGAGGTACGGGATTTGCACGATGGGAGGAGAAGGCCCTTTTGTTCCACATTGGTGTGGTCTATGAGCCAGTTTCTAGTTGGAAGGCATACATGCGCGCTCTGCCATTGCAGAGGTGCTGACTTCGCTGGTTCACTTTTGTAGCCGGCAAAGAACTTGATCCCTTTCAGATCACTTGCGCCAATGTTAAGGTGCTTGGCCCATTTGTCTCCGACCTTATCCGTTGATTCTTTCTTCGTATGGATCATCTTGTATGTTGACTTGACCGACAGATTATGCAGCCCTACGGTTGATGCTTGCCCATTCCTCCTCCTGGTTCTTGTCTATTTCCATTCTGTCGGGTGAATGGGGAGGTGCTCTATCCTTTTTCCTTCCCAGTATATTATCTGCTCTTCTTCTTTCTCCAGGTTCTTTTGTATCCTTATGAAGGGGTCCGACCAGGAAGGTTTGTGCAGCGTTCCTCCCTCATTTATAATCCATTCTCTTCATCTGAATCAGTCCCTCGCTTCCTTCCAAGGATCGCATCCAGCCTCATTTTACCGTCTCGGGGCCATCTTTAAAATTATCCCACCATTCTCGACTCTTGAGGGATTGTTGTTGTTAGTTTCTTCCACCTTGCTTTTTGAATATCTTCTTCAGGTCTTCATATGTTTTCCACGTGTCGTTGATGTCATCCCAGATATCTCACAACCCTTCTTTTCACACGACCTTTCCATGGGGATATATATCCCTAGTAGGTCTGGCTGTGTTGATGTGAAATCTTCCTATTTTCAAAGCGGGGTTGGTGTAGAATCTCTTCTCACCTAGTTTTAGGGGCCTTGTACGGTAGTGGCAGTTTTCTCTAGGATCGAAGTAGAGGGAGCCATAGTCGTTGATGCATATATCATTTCTAGCTCTTGCTCTTGAGGTAGGCTGTTTGTGTAGTGGCTTTTCTTCTTCGGCAGTGACCAATATATGTTCTCTACCCAAGTTAAAGGGCGAACAAATTCTGGGGACTCAGGAGCCAACATTGTAATCTGTTTTAACTTTTAAGTTTTAAGGCCAATTTAGACTATATTGTTCGGGTGGTTAAGGATCAATTTGTGTACCCATTTTAGCGACAATGCTTCAAATTATGTAGAAGAGTTTAGTATGACCAGCTCTCCCTTAGCCATAGGTAGGGTTATCAAATCCCATGCCACCCAACTGATCATATTTTCTTCCTTTGTGTTATTTCTCCATAGGCATGCTGCTATTTGTTTTTTGAGGACCGATGCTGCACTCTTAGATGGGGGTCCACAATGCTGATCTATATCACAATCCCCCCTCGCCACATTGTTGATTACTGCTACTCTTCCTACTAAGGAGGTGTGCTTGTTATCCCAATTCAAAAACTTTTGTCGAGTCGGGTTCAGCCACCAGTTATCGTTGTCCGCAGGCATGCCATAGGGAACCCATCTCATACGTAGTACCCTAATAGGTTTCTCTAGCAAGAGCCAATTCATCTTTGGTTCTTCTGGAGGTCTCACTCCATGGTTGTCAATCGACCATCGCTTTGTTTTATTTTCCCGGTTCACTGCCATCATCAGTGCCATGTTTGATAGCCCACAAAACATGTCCATTAGTCTTTGGATTTCCTCTATATTTTGGTCTGATGTGTCCACCATAAGGGAGATGTCATCAGTAGACGGCAATTTTTTGTATTTGGAAATGTATTTGGTGAAGTTTTTGCATCTGTGCTTTTGTATAGTGGGTGGATGGGCTGACATGTCGCAGTAGACTAGCCATATGGCAAATAGAGTGAGTAGCGAGTCGAGGAGGTAACTGGCGGGGAAATTTTGAGGTACCGAAGGCCTTTCTAAGTCACCAGACAACCTATCTGATTATTTGGGACTGAGGGGTACTTGCAGGTTTAAGCGGTAATTAGGATTTTAGAACTTGTATCTATTGGGAGGACTACAGACCAAGGAAGGTCACAGGTTTATTCCCGATGGAATTTCCGCACAAAATATGTTGAAGGCTGTAGCGGGGAGATTTTGGGTAGCAGCCTCGGATAGGCCGGATAGAGGAAGGTACGGAATGGTTCTAAGTGGGTATGACTGCCTTGAATGACATCAGAGTGAACTCGCAAAGACCAAACCCTAAGCTGAAGATAGGATTTAGTTAGTCCTCTATGACTATGATTTATGGTTATAACTATGGAGAATAATCTTTGCGTTAATGGCGGTGTTCCAGAAGGTCTGAAAAGGTGGTTACCATTTAGCTTATCTGACATGGGTGGAAGCTTGGGATCAGGACACCCAAGTAGCGAGGTGACAATTTACGATCTCTTCACGTCAGGCAACTCATCTAGGATGAGAGGTGAAAAGTCGGGTGTGACATGCCTCTTCCGGATGTATTGTTTCCAGTGGCAGTGTGCATGCTTGGCGAGACATCGCCAGAGCTCATTCACCTACAACTCTAAATGAACTCTTGCAAAAGCTATGACCCTCTTTGGTGACTGAACTAGTCATCGACGTTGCCTTGTGCATCATACTTCTAAATACTGAAGCAATGAGATGGGGTGGGGTACTAGGGTGGCTGTTGTATGGGCAACAGAACGGCTTCTGCGCATGGAGCGGCATCAGCATGGTCGGTTGTCTTTATTGTTGGAAATGGGAGAACGACCATTCCTGCACCAGTATAAGTCGACGGGCTGACAATGCCGATGAGCTGGGACCCGATGGGCTGGGTCTGGTGCTGGAGGTAAGGTGGAATAGAAATTGGAGGGGAGGGAGGAAACTGTGGGGAAAGTTGTAGGTGGGATGCTAGGGGTGGATGACAAGCAAGGAACAGAGTGGAAGATTGGAGTAAGAAATGTAAAAAAACGACTTGAGGAGGCTTGCAATAAGGCCTGCTTCTCAGACAGCTGACCCTGCAGCTGGGCCACAATGGTGGATTGCAGGAGGGAGGAGAGGAGAAGGGCGAGTATAGGGGAGGTGGATGTGAGGGGGTGGAGATGGGTGGAATGTGGTGGTTACGACCAGTGAAAGTAAGGACAGGTGCAGCAATTGCAGGCACAGAAATAAGAGCAGCAATAGGCATAGGAGCAGAAGTGGGGGCCCAGGGGTGGCAACACCAGTGGGAGTGAATGCGGGAGCAACAAAGGATGCGGCAGGAAGGGCAACAGACTGTGGAAGGGCAGATGTGGAGTGGGAGATGCGGTGCAATGACGAGAGCAGTAGTGAAGGGCGCAAAGGCAAGAGGATCGTACAGTGAGGCCGAGCGGAATGATAAGATGGGTGGAGGGAGGAAGATCGAGATGCCTCTAGATGAGACATCCGGGAGACTAGACAACAAAAGGATGGAAGATGACGGGAGGCAAAGACTGCACTAATTTTGTTGGAGGAAAGGAAGCGTGAGATGCGTGCAAGGTAAGCATGCCCTTCTTTGTTAAAAACCTGTTCAAAATAACTGACTTGCGCATTTGTCCTTTGCGACATCTGTTAAAATTGGAACAATACAGAGCAGATTAGCATGGCCCCTGCACAAGGATGACACGCAAAAATCGAGAAATGGTCCCCAAAAAATGACTTGCTCATTTCATGTGAGATACATCATACCTGTTATCTTTCTTGGGTGGCAAGTCCTGCGATCAACCTTTTTTTTTTTTTTTGAGGCTGCCTTCTCCTCATCAGGGGATATCTGTATTCATATATATTTTTTCTCGCAATGCTTTTGCACTACAGAGTCCAGACCATCGGGGCACTCCTGAGACCATTAGGACGTTACTACCGAACAGACCGTCGGGGCACTACTAGCAAGCTCCACTCTGTGCGGGCAGTAGTACCCAAGATCCTAACCCGTAGTGAGGGAACATTTTAAACTTTTTTAATTTTTAAACCTTTTTTTTTTTTTTCCCCCAGGTTGCTCAGATCTTTTGGTGGGGAGCATCACGTGCTGGAAACTGGGTCCAGCGTCCCATGATAACATTCAAGGATGAGCACACTTGTCGTATACCAAACTGCTCTGTGCCTGCTCTGTGCCTTTTCGGAGGTATTTGGAAAGGAGACGAAGTCAAAATGATAATAAGTGTTTTTTTTTGGGTTAATTTAATTACGAATTCTAATTAAGACTTGTGATCTGGACGAATATGCATGAGGGGCGGGGCAATGGTGTACTGGTCAAGTTCTTGTGTGTGAAGTTTCTGTATTTTACTATTTTGGTTGAACCGGGAATGTTCTCGTGAGAGCTTGAAATGGGGAAAGAAAGGGAAAACCTAACAAATTTGATATTCAAACGAACTTGACTTGTGAAATGTTGAAGCAGGGTAGGAAAAACGGCAGTGGCCGAAGAGCTCTGAGCCAGGGGGTTGGTGAAATATCTTCTCTGGGTAAGGTGCCACCAAAATCAGCAGAAGGGTTCGCGATGGAGGCAGGCATTCCCGCACGTCTCACAGGAAATGGATGTGCACCATCAACTCCTGCGTCAACGGCAGCAGCCACACCAACGGCAATGCCCACACAACCATCCAGTGCAGGTTATCAGTACCCACCACCACCCTATGGGATGGGCCCACATCCCCACCACCCCCACCATCCCCACCACCCTCCCCCACCCCACCACCACCACTCTTACTCTTACGCTCCACAATATGGGTATCATCCTCATTACTTCTACTCATCACCGCCACCGCCACCGCCACCGCCGCTGCATCCTCACCAATTCCCCTGGCCATATCCTGTGCCAGACCCTGCTTCTGCCCCTCACCCTCCAACTATTTCCGAGCAGCAGAGTGCAGCTGGCCCCTCTCCCCCTTCCTCTATGCCCCAAACAGCTGCCAGCCATCCTCCTCATCCTGCCTCATCCTTCATGCACTACCCGCACTATCCAGGCAACCACTCATACAACCCGTTTACGCCTCCGCCAGAGCCTTCCAGCAGCACTGCTGTACCTGTGCCAGAGCAAAGTGCCACAGAACACACTACAATAGCTGCAGCTGCATCTCCTTCATCTACTTTTTCTCGGCCGGCAAATGTAAATCCTCCTCCACCCCCTCCTCACCCTCCTCCTCCAACCGCCCCCTGTGCTAGCATCCAGCCTACACCCTTCCTCCCTCCACCCTTCCCACCCCCTCCATTTGCATTCTATGGTCATTATCCTTCCCCCATGCCATACCCCCACACCATGGGCCCAGCAAATGCTGGCCAACCCCCATCCAGTGCCCGGGCAGGCAATATTGGTGCCGGGGGGCCGCAGGGCACACAAGCCAGCTGTGCAGGGGCTCCTAACGGGGCCACACCTAGCAATACAGGCATGCCTTCTGCTGCATGGATGCAAACAACAAGTGCCACAGGGAATGCAGAGAACAGCAGACATGTTGGTCAGACTCCAGCCTCTGGTGGTGAGCCAACTACTACCGCTGAAGCGGCGACTGTGGGAAAGTGTCCTGGTCCTGCTTTTGAAGGTAGGACTGCAGGGTCTGCAGGAGTTGCGGAGGAGTATGCCAGTGGCATCACGGACACAACTGCGGGCACAGATGGTACGGAGACTTGTGCCGATGGAAGCAGAGAGGCCATGGCTGTACCTGGCATGGTTTCAGGGACGTGCAGCAGCCCCATGGACACAGTGTTTGCCAGTCCCTTTGTGCACCAAGTCAACGGAACACAACATGCTGCATCTGCTCTTGGATCGCCAGGGGTGAAAGGTGCAATGCATGAAATGGCAGGTGAGCAGCCACGAGAGCGTAGTGCGAAAACCAGAGATCGGGAGCGGGATTGTGAACGAGGTGATGTCACAGAGTCAACTGGTGTTGAAAACCCACCAAATGCCACAGGCTCACAACTGAATTCCCCCCCGGCATCTGGAGGCAAGCAAAAGCTGTCCGTGGCGGTCCCACATTCTTCACCGTCTGGAGCTCATACGACAGCATCACATCTGGCATCACATGGAGAGAAGGGAGGAAAGGCTTCCTCTAGTCAGGTACACACTCCAAACAATCTGCTTGACGGCAGGCGTGGCAGGAGGCTGAAGCCTCTCGACGAACTACACCCGACCTCAATCTTTCGGAGACGACAACGGATGCTGCGGCAGATTAAGGATATTGCAGCGGAGTTTGTCGGCAAGAGTGTCGAAGATCTAACCTCCAAGGATCTCTCTGACACTCTCCTATTTGCTCTTGGGAGCAAGACCCTCGTGGACGTGGATGCTGCGTACATGGTGGCACTTCTTAAAGATAAGGATCAGAAGACGTCAACTTCAGAAGCACGGCGCAAAGCGACCAAGAGACAGAAAGCAACCGTATCCTCTGATATGCGTGTCACAGCCGCCGCCACACCGGGCAGGTATGCCTCACTGCTATGCCAGCAGCACATCATTCTCCTCTCTCTCTTACTCTCCTCTGCACCTGTCTTCTCTCTGCTTCCTTCCATCATTTTCCTCACTCAGCCTCCAAAAGCAGGCCTCATAGTACATTATCCACTTTTTTTTTTTTTTTTTTTTTTTTGACATTATCCACATTCAGCTGGTTGATAGGACAGGAAAAGAAACCTTCAAAAGAATCATGTGTCATTGTAACAGAGGGCAGAAAACACCATTTGATTTACTACCGTCTTCACCCGAATAGAACATCCGGTCATTATAGCGGTATTTGGGGCAATTTTCAGTCCAGATACAACGATAATTACCGAGCCTTCTACTCGGATGACGACAGTAGACCAGCGTATCTGCATCTCTGTTTGATATAAGCTGGTCGACAGACGAAAGAAGAATCATTTGTCACTGGAACATTGGGTGAGATATACCCTTTCGATTTACCAACGGGCCTAGTAGCTCAGTTGCTACACCCAATGAACTGTTGAAGTACAGACCCAATTTCAAATCCAGATGCAATCAGATGAACAGAAGAAAACAATTCTGAATTACCTGGGGTCGTTCAGCTCAATTGATGATATCTCAAGGCCATCGCGCTTTCTGAAAAAAGCAAAAAAGAGAAACGCCATTTGATTTGCTTAGCCCAGGGTGTCCTCACTGTTATTGATCTTGCTGCCAAAGCCAACCGATTTTGCAGTACCTGTACTTTGAGCTGTGGGTCCTCTGAGAGCCGGTTAACCGACACCCCATTTTTCACCTCAGTTTATAAGAAAAACATAAGGCCATTTCAGGATCATTCATGGTTACTCAGGGCCGAAAAGTGGGGGTTCCCCATTAACCGCTTGTGGGTCCTCTCTGTATGCCAGTGGCCAGCCATTGACTGTCAGTGTTTGGGGCCTACTTGTGTAGAGGCAATCTTTTTTAGGGGTGTTCAGAAGGTAGAATGGGCTTAAGAGGGTCCTTAAAATTGGAGCGATACATAGAAGATTAGCATGGCCCCTGCGCGAGGATGACACACATAAATCGAGAAATGGTCCACTTTTTTTTCTTTTTAAAGAAAAAAAGAAGAAGAAGAACTGGCTTAAGATGTGCCAACTGGCGTAGCTCAGTTGGTACACCGATGAACTGTTGAAATGCAGACCTGAGTTCGAATTCCAGTAGGATTAGATGAGTGAAAAATAACTCTTGAGTTTACCTGGGGCCAGTCAGTGAAAGAAAAGGAAAGGTGAAAGAAAAGGAAGGGTGAAAGAAACTGGCTTAAGAGTTTACCTCTAGGCTGTTTCCCTTAGGAAAAGAAAAGGAAGGGTGAAAAAAAGAAGTAAAAAAAAAGAAGGGAGGAAAAAAAAAAAAAGGAGTGGCTTAAGAGGTCCCTTGAAAAGGAGGGCACGACCGTACTGAGCCACACTCACCCATACCTGCTTCAATGCGTTGGTAACTTGGTACCCTTGTTTGTTATCGTTCAATCTAAGGGTCGAATCCGTTCTACTGGGGACTGCAGAAAAAAAGGGACTCAGAATTTTCTGTGAGTTTGAGAACAATGAGAAGCAGATTTAAGTTGATTAAGCCCCTAGTAGGTCAGCGAAGGTCGCTTTTTTAACCTGTGACAGGTAACATATCAGAGAGAGGTAAATGGCTAGAAATTTTGAATTAGTGGATGAAAGACTCCACACTCAAACAAAGAAAAGAGAAAAAAAGAAGAGATTAACCTGATAAAGTGAAATGACAAGGAAAAACACCACTTTATCAAAAGAAGAGATTAACCTGATAAAAAGAAGACATTTCGTATATGCTGATATCCAAAAAGATAACAAAATCTCGGTAAAAAAAAAAGAAAAAAGATAACGGAAATGGATTCTAACTTGGTATCCATTTTTGGTCATTCAATCTAAGCATTGAATCTTTTTCTCTTTTCTCTTTTCTTTTTTTTTAAAATTGGATGCTTATACTGGACAAGGTAGAAAAGTGATATCGAAAGATTCGAAACCAGAAAAAACTCGCCGAAGTAAAGTTCAGAAACAGGGAAGGAAAATGTGAAAATTTAAAATTTAAAGCCAGAAACGCCTTTGTGGGATGGTTTTCGTTAAACCACCAGTACTGCGGGAATTTGCCGGAACCCGTTTTGTTCAATCTGAAAACAACTACCACGCCTGCCCTGACCAGACTGAAACGTCAGCCCTACCGGGTCACAGCAACTCTGCTTGACAGCCGCATTTTGCTTCGGTCCTTTGGGACAAATAATTTAATTTTATGCAGGATAAAAGGCTAAAGGCTTAAGGGCAAAAAACGTTCACGTTTATTCTTAAAATTATTTTCCTGATAAGGCGGAATCTACCCTACATCCCTGATTGATTTTGGAAGTGTTTGTCAATGTTAAGGAGTGCATGGCGTAAGGCCCTCGGCCAGCATATGGATGGGGTCTGCGCCCGCTGTAAAAGGTCTGTGCCTGGTTGCAACTGTCTGCTCCCACCCTACGTGAAGCCTGGCCCAAACAAAAATCGAAGAGGCCTGCAACCCAGGCCATTTAGGGCGGAAAGAGGATGTGGGTTGGTTGCTGCAAGCGGCGCCCTCAACTAACTGGCAGGCCAGTTGGTTACAGACACTGGGTCCCGAAGCAGAAGCTGAGGCCCAGGGCACTTACAGTTGAGCCCCAGGTAAAATTCTGGAAGGGCCGTGTGCGCAGCTACTGGGATGGAGGTTGAGCCTCCAGGACCTGTCCTCGCCCAGCCAGAGAAGTCAAAAGAGAATGAGCTCAACTCATTCTCATTCATTCTTCTTGCTGGAGCGCATGCTCGCGGGCAGGCTCACTGGAGGAAGGTCGGGGAGTGAGGGGAAGTGCTGGCGGGGCACACGAAAACGTTGCCAGGGAGCAGCGAGGATGAGTGACGGCCCTAGCCAGGCTGCTGCCTCTCTTTGCCGGAGGAAGTGTGGCGGAGTTCCCTGGAGGAGGGTGCAGTGTGGGAAGGAGAGGTGATGGGCAGTGAGCGGTGAGAGAGAGAGAGAGAGAGAGAGAGAGAGAGAGAGAGAGAGAGAGAGAGAGAGAGAGAGAGAGAGAGAGAGAGAGATGTCTCGTACCTGGTGCATGTGAGCAGGCCTGTGAGGTCGGGGCCTTCATTCGTCACCGGGCAGCTGCACTTCATGAAGACCTGTCGACGTCGTTAGGAGGCTAGAGTCTAGGTGTCGTCTGATCGTAGTCTGGGCGCCGAGCGTCATGTAGGAGAGCTACATTGGGGACATTGATGGTGGATGCGAGAAGTGGGCTTGCATTGTCGATTGACTTCACTCTTACTTGGTGTATTTCTCGTGCAATCTGCTTTCAGTTCGAGCATAGGACTATCTGGCTTTCTATGGGATGATGCAATTTGGTTTCTGTCATTCGCAATCATTTATACTGGCTTGGGCCTTGCTCAGTCTGGCGCACACAAGCTGGCTTACGCACTCTCACTCTCAAACACACACATAAATACACATCACAGGGTCATATGACTTCATGAGCCGTGTACGTGAGAGGCACACACTCACTCTAAACCAACGTGACGAGCCTTGTACGTGAGAGGCACAGCAGAAGGGGAGCTGCGACAATAAATAAAACAGAAAACCCAAGGAAAGCGAACAAAGGACTATACAAGGAAAATGCAATATATTTGTTTTGCTAAAGTGGTACAGCTGTTTCAAATTTGGATCTGCTTATCTGGGTGGAAAAGTGGTTGTTGTGGTGACAGTGACAGCTTACTACACACACACCACAGGGTCGTTCAACTGATGTGGATTCAGGTATCCACACGTCCATCATCATCGGGGCCACTTTAATACCTCACCTTCTCGGACAATTCTTTAGCTCTGCCGTACAAGGGCAGAGGGGTATGCATGTCTACATGACCCCTTGTATCAGCTACACACTCCTTTGAACTTAGTCGGACTCCTTGACTAGGAACAGTATGTGATTCCAGGACCACACCTTGGAGGCGGGAAAGCTCTGTCCCCTTCAGAGGACAATTCGCCTGATCCTCATGCATGCCCTGAGTCTGATAAGGGTGCCTTGGTCCACTTTAATCTGGCTCGTCGACTAGCGTCTTCCCCCAAACACAACACATTCTGAAAAACGAATGTACACAAGCTAACTTTCCGGTCTGTTGCAGTCAAAATGAGGGTGGGTTGTGTTCGGGGGAAGACAGTAGGAATTGTATGTCATGGCAGGACCAGACCGCTGCGCCAGCAGAGCTCTGTCCCCTTCAGAAGACAACTTGGCTGATCCTCACCCATGCCCCAAGTCTGAGAAGGGTGCTATTCTACGGATGCCCCTGTATATATGGATGAGACTGAAACGGTTTTCACCTTTTAGCAGTAGCGGATGCAGTACCCAGGGTTCGATCCCTAGACCTCACCATACCCATGTACAGTATCTGTGTAGACCCCGAGAATTGAACCTGTGACCTGTGTATTTGTAGGCAGTTGGTAGACCTGTCGTAGGTCCATAGACAGCAGGGGTTCGATCTGTAGGTCTATAGCGTAGGAGTCTTAGTGAGTTCTGGAAGCTTAGCTGTAGACCTTCTAGAAGGTAGGCAAGTGGGCAAGTGGTCAAGTGGTGAGGCAAGTGGTGGACTAAA